CCCGCCGAGGCGGCCTTGGGCGCCAGCAGGATGGGCTTCGCCTCTTTGGGTTTGGTGGTGAGGTCGAAGGGGGACTCGGCACTGGGGCCGCCACCCTTGAGGGCGTCCCTGGGCGACTTTGGCTCGGCCTTGACCAGCAGGCTGTGGGCGAGGGTGCGGTCGGCGAGGGGGTAGAGCGCGTGCGGGAAGTCGGGCAGGAACTGGAAGGGGAACACCGAGTGGTAGGGCAGAGCGCCCAGCCTCTTCTCCTGCGCGCCCATGAAGCCCGGCCCGAAGTACTTCTCGGCGATGGAGGCGATCGCCTTGATGGAGTCCCCCGTGGCGCCCGACGCCGCCAGCAGCTGCTCGTCGGGCGGCGGGAAGAAGGAGCGCTGGGCGTAGAAGACAGGCACGTCGTTCACGCTATTGGGGGCCCCCGGGGGCACCGCACCCCCCCCGAACTCGGGCTTGCCCTCTGCTGCCTGGCTCTTGTCCTTGGCCTTGTCGCGGTCGCTTTCCACGTCGCTGTCCAGGTCGGAGCCTGTGCCTGTGGTCGTGTCCAGGTCCGTCCCGGTCGTGGTGTTGATGTCCTCGAAGTCGCTGCCGTCCGACAGGTCGCTGCTGCGGGTCTTGAGCTTCTCGGGGTACGCGTCCTCCAGGCGGCCCTCGAACTTCTCCTCGGGCCCCGTGGCGGCCGCGGTGCCCTGGCCGCTGCTGCCCACGGCGGAGACGAGGGGCAGCGCCGGGTTCCCCAGGGGGCTGGGCAGCTTGGCGTCCTGGGTGTGGTTCAGGGGGCTCTTGAGCAACGGAGTGGGAGGTAGCAAAGGTGGCCGGGGGTAGAGGGACGGCGGGAAGATGCTGGGGAAGCCGGGGGTGAGTGCGGGGAAGGCGGGCGGGGCTGCCGAGAAGGGCAGGCTCCCCGGGTGCGGCCTGGAGGGGAAGTACTCGCTGAAGCCCAGGCCGGCGTGGTTGAGGCTGGGGGGCGGCTTCGCCTTGTCCAGCAGGGGGCTGGGGGTCAAGGGCAGGCCCGGAGAGAAGATGCCCCCGGGCGCGTAGTGGTTCTTGCCCTCGCAGAAGCGCCGGTGCTTGTTGAGGGAGGAGGTAGTGCTGAACATCTGCCCGCAGTCCTTGCACTTGATCTGCGTGCGGCAGTCCGCGTGCATGCGCTTGTGGCGGCACAGGTTGGAGAACTGCGTGTAGGACTTGTGGCAGACCTCACCTAAAGCACCAGCAGAAAGCAGGCGAACACGCTATGAAATTACCGGGAAACCTCCGGGTGGGGGGGAGGGGTGCTTCTGGCCCTGGTGATTGGAGCAGCCTGCGCTTGTGTCATGTGAGCATGTGTGTGTGTGTGTGTGCATGTGTGTCCCTATGTGTGCACGCCTGCATGTGTGTGCAAACGTGTGGTTGTGCACATGTTCATGTGAGAATGTGTACATGTAGGCACATGCGTGCATATAAGTACACATGCACACATGCACGTGCCCATGTTGTGCATAGACATGTATGTGTCATGCATGTGCATGACTGTATGTGCAACTGTGTCTTCGTGTGAGAACATGTGCAGGTATGTACACACACGCACACATGTGCACATAGACACGTGCATGTCACGAATGTGTGCATGGTATGTGCTATTCACATGCACATAAGTGTATATGTGCGCACACACGTATACGCATACATACACCTTTCACATGCACGTGAGTGCACACCTGTTGCACGTGCATGTGCCACATGTGTTCATGTGTACAGTGTTTTGCATGTGTATATGTGTGCACATGCCTGAGTGTGCCTACCTATATGTGTGCACATATACACCTGTACATGTACATACTATTCTAGGGCTGGCCTCTGGTCACCAGCATGAACTGACAAGACCACTTGTGCCTTCCTGTTGGCCCCTGTGCAGCTCAGAGAGGCCTCAGCTGGCTCTTTGGAAAATGGGGGACCACTGCTCACACTCCCTTCCTGGGAGTGTCTGTAATGTGTGGGCTGAGGTCTTCCGAATCGCTCAGGTGGGCAAAGTCATGCAGGCAGCCGTGTCTGCCACCACATGGGCTTGCCCAGGACACCCACCCCTTCCTGTCCATGTCAGTGTCCTGCCCCACAGTGTAGGAGGAACCCTGACCACCAACCACATCAGATCTCCTATTTCCAAAGCTTAAAATGTCCCCAGCGTCCCTGTCCTCTCCTCTGCCCCAGGCCCTGGGATCTGCACCAGGAGAGGGCGGCCCAGGTGGTCATCCCGCTCAGGAGTTCTTGGTTGGGGAGTCTGGGCTGTGTGGTCACTGTTTGGGGGTGGCCTGAAGGTGGGGGTGAATCCCTAGCAGGGCCGTGCAGAGAGGGGCTGGGTCCATGTCAGAGGAAAGCGGAACCTCCCCAAATTGGGATACAGAGGCAGATGCCAGTCTGTGCTCTTAACAGGAGAGGGCAGTGCCAGCCAGCACCAGGACCCAGAGGCCCAGGGGACCCCGACTCAGCCATTTCCCGATGGCCTGTGAGCTGAGGGTCAGCGAATCACCAGCTTTTCTTTCTTCTGTTTTTCTAGCAGCAGGAGGGACACACACACACACACACACACACACGCCCGTACATACACACACGCACCCCCCTTCCCCCCCCTGCATGTGGCTCTCTCTGCAGGACAATTTTCGTCCTCAATGCAGCCCTGGTGGAAACAATGATTTCCGCGTGTTTCTCGCTCCCCATCAGTCCTCGCCGGCCTGATGTCATGCTATTCTAGCGGGAGCTTCGGCCCTGAGATTACCGTGTCCTTTAATCATGGTATCTATTTATATTAGCCGCTCGGCCTTCCCGGTCGCCTGGCATGGCGAGGCATTTTCAAGGCTGAGGGGGGAGAGTGCTGCCTCATTGAATCAAATCAGCCCCTCTGGGAGGCACGGGACCGTCTATAAATATCCTCAGGTCCCCCGCCCGGCCCTCGGGGGAGGGAGAGAGAGGCTGCTCTCAGCTCAGGCCTGGCTGGACAAAACAAGTGACACGTCACCGTGTCCCTGACCCTGGAGGGGTTCTGTCAGTGCCTCCTTAGTGGCTGCTGTCACTCTGAGGTTGGAAAGGTGCCTGGGCTTGGGAGCCTGGCCTGCTGGGCCCCACCACCTGCTCCCACGGTGGAGGGGCCTGAATAGATGTTGGGGCTGTAGAAAGGTCTCTAGGAGACCGAGGTCCTAGATTCAGGTCCTGGACCTGGGATGGCCAGCAGCTGTCACAGCCGGCAAAGGGGGGGTGGCTGCCTGCAGGGGCTGAGAGAGGCCCTGGATATGGGGACCAGCACCTCATGGGGGGTGACCCTGGGCCTTGCCAGGAGGCAGAGGGGCCTGGCCCATTCTCATCTGTCAGCAGTTTCTTTTCCTTGAGTGTGTGGGTATGTTCACTCACACCCATGTGCACCCTCCCACACCCATATACACCACCCACTCCCACACCTGCATATGCTCACACCTTCCCCCGACACCCACACATGCACTTGCGCACACACACACATTCACCCCCACCTCCCCACTGAACAACCCCCACACTGGTGAGAACATCCTGACCCCAACTCCCCACGCTCCCAGAGTCACCCCTCCTGGCAGTGATCTAACGGAGCCTGAGAAGTTCCAGGCCACCCAGCCTGGGGTCAGGAGCCAGACCCCTTGAACTGGAATCAGGGTTTGGCAGTGGTGCCTTGAGCACCTGACCCCTTAATGTCTTAAAGCCTCGATTTCCTTCTCAGTCATTAGAGAGAGTACAGGCCCTGCAACCTAGGATTTTATAAGGATCGGTGAGATAATGGGTGTGAATGGCGACTCGGNCATTGAATCAAATCAGCCCCTCTGGGAGGCACGGGACCGTCTATAAATATCCTCAGGTCCCCCGCCCGGCCCTCGGGGGAGGGAGAGAGAGGCTGCTCTCAGCTCAGGCCTGGCTGGACAAAACAAGTGACACGTCACCGTGTCCCTGACCCTGGAGGGGTTCTGTCAGTGCCTCCTTAGTGGGTGCTGTCACTCTGAGGTTGGAAAGGTGCCTGGGCTTGGGAGCCTGGCCTGCTGGGCCCCACCACCTGCTCCCACGGTGGAGGGGCCTGAATAGATGTTGGGGCTGTAGAAAGGTCTCTAGGAGACCGAGGTCCTAGATTCAGGTCCTGGACCTGGGATGGCCAGCAGCTGTCACAGCCGGCAAAGGGGGGGTGGCTGCCTGCAGGGGCTGAGAGAGGCCCTGGATATGGGGACCAGCACCTCATGGGGGGTGACCCTGGGCCCTGCCAGGAGGCAGAGGGGCCTGGCCCATTCTCACCTGTCAGCAGTTTCTTTTCCTTGAGTGTGTGGGTATGTTCACTCACACCCATGTGCACCCTCCCACACCCATATACACCACCCACTCCCACACCTGCATATGCTCACACCTTCCCCCGACACCCACACATGCACTTGCGCACACACACACATTCACCCCCACCTCCCCACTGAACAACCCCCACACTGGTGAGAACATCCTGACCCCAACTCCCCACGCTCCCAGAGTCACCCCTCCTGGCAGTGATCTAACGGAGCCTGAGAAGTTCCAGGCCACCCAGCCTGGGGTCAGGAGCCAGACCCCTTGAACTGGAATCAGGGTTTGGCAGTGGTGCCTTGAGCACCTGACCCCTTAATGTCTTAAAGCCTCGATTTCCTTCTCAGTCATTAGAGAGAGTACAGGCCCTGCAACCTAGGATTTTATAAGGATCGGTGAGATAATGGGTGTGAATGGCGACTCGGCACAATGCTGGTGTGAATAGTGACTCAGCACAATGCTGGTGTGAATAGTGACTCGGCACAATGCTGGTGTGAATGGTGACTCGGCACAATGCTGGTGTGAATGGTGACTCAGCACAATGCTGGTGTGAATAGTGACTCGGCATAATGCTGGTGTGAATGGTGACTCAGCACAATGCTGGTGTGAATGGTGATGTCAGCACAATACTGTGTGAATGGTGACTCAGCACTATTTGGTGGGAATGGTGACTCAGCTCAATCTGGGATGAACAGTGAGTCATCACAATACTGTGCGAATGACGACTCAGCACAATCTGCCAGTGTGAATGGTGACTCAGCACAATCTGCCAGTGTGAATGGTGACTCAGCATAATGTCAGCGTGAAAGGTGAGTCAGCACAATCTGGTGTGAATGGTGACTCAGCTCAATCTGGTGTGATGGTGACTCAGCACTATGTTGTGTGCAATGATTGTTCACTGTACTGTTAGGCAGAGAGGATCCTTTAGGGTCACTTCCCTGGGCTGGCCTATAAGGTCCCTGGGACCTGGCCCTTTGTGACCTCTGACTCCTCTCCTATCAAACCCCCATCACTCGCTACCCAACACACCTGGCCTCAAGGCCTCTGCTAGAGTTGCTGTCCCCACCTCTCCGCAGTTGTCCCCTCTGCTCACTCCCTCTGCTAGATTGACTCTCCCACAGGCTGTCGTGGGCTCCCGCTGCACTGACAGGAGCAGTGCCCACCTGGGTGCCCTCCTGGCACTTCGGAGCCTCCTAATCCTGCACTCTTCTGGACAAACGGGGGTTTGGCCCATGGGGGAGCACCTGGGGACCTCCTGCCATGGCCTGGTCCTCAAAGCCCCCGAAGGTCCCCCTGTGCGGCCCGGCAGGGGGACGACTCACATATGAAAGGTTTGACGGTGCTGTGGATGTGTTTGTGCTGCTTGAGGCCGGAGGACGTGGCGAACGTCTTCCCGCAGTCCGGGCAGGCGTGAGCCCGCGCTCCCACGTGCTGGGAGCGGATGTGCCGCTGCAGGTTGCTGGGGTCCGTGAACACCTGGGGAGACAGATGCTGTCGCTAGAGCCCCGTCCACCCCATTCTGGCTGCTGGACGGGTCTCCCTTACAACTCTGTCCCCTGCACCGAGCCCACTGGGACCTCTGCTGTAGTGGTGACCCCCGGGTGCCTGGGGAGGGAGAGCTGTTCAGGCTTCCCTGGCTTCTGTCTCCTTAATAATTCCAGAGAGTTCTGTGGTCATGAGGATGCGCAAAGAGGAGCTCAGAGGGGACACATGCAGGCCCAGGGTTGGGAGGCTTGCCCGCCAGCCCCTCCTTCCACATTGAGAGACCGGGTCTGTCTCCCTTGGCTCTGTTCCCTCCCAGCCACGTCACCAGCCTTCCCGGAGACTTGCTCTCAGGTGGGGGCGGTGGGCGCCCATGGGCATGTTACCTTCACGCAGTTTTCACATTCGAAGCGCTTGCCGCTGTCGTGGGACATCTGGTGGCGAATGAGGTTGGACTTCCAGTTGAAGGCCTTGGGACACTGGTCACACTTGTACTCTCGCTCCTCTGTGTGGACGACCATGTGCTGTTCCAAGCTGTGCCGAGAGGATAGAGGTCACTGCAAGGCCCGCCTGCCACCCACTGCCTAGCGGGGGATGTCCCTCCACCCTGCCTGGCTTCTCTCGTCCCCCGCTCCCTGCTCAGCGATCAGAGTGAGGCGTGGCGCACTGCTGTCCACCCTGCTCTGGACAGCTCAACAGATGAAGGGCAGAGATGGCCCTTATCCAAAACCACCCCCCGGGGCCCCAGCCCACACTTCCTGGCCTCTCTTCTGGACAATCTTAACCTTGAGGTTAACCCTGGGCCTGAGAAAAAGGAGTCCAGAGCTGTCAACACTGCCATGAGCCCCAGCGTGGGAGAGGGGCACAGGAGAGCCAAGGCCACCCTCCGAGTGGCCTGAGGGTGCTTGCCCACCTGCCATGCACACACGGGCGGTGGCCGGCAGGGCTGGGTCTCCCCGGGATGGGGAGGGTGGCGCACAGCTGCTCCGAGGGCCGGGCCCGGATGAGCAAGCGGCTCCACGCCCTCTCGGGGGACGCCCTGCCTCTCCTGTCCCAGGTACGCCCGTTAATCTTCATGAGCGAAGCAGCAATACATCACAGCCCGTTAATTACGGGGCCAGCCATCCGTTCCGACCAGAAATGCCTGGGCTCGGCACCCGGCAGACTGTATTCCTTTCCCTGTTGCTAATTGTGATTTATGTGTTTATGTAAAGGAAACACGGACCCTCTCCAGCACGCTGACCGCCCAGGGCCTCAGCCGGGATTTGCCCAAATGCTCATTTTCTGTCATCTGCTCAGGGTGGAGGGTTTCCCACCCCTGGGGAGCCGGGGAGGGATGGCGGTCGGTCCCCCACAATTCTACAGCCAGTTAGTGGCCTGATGGGGCTGCTCTGACTTTGCGAGTCCGTCCGGGGGGAAATTCTCCTAGGTGAGAGCAGAGGCCCGTGCTGGAAAAGGCCTCTTGGTTCCCTGGAGCATGGGGACCACATGACCCGGCTTGCCCTTCGCGGGACCCCAGGAGGCCCATCTTTCCCAGGGGTCCTCAGGGCCCCTTGCCTGACTTTTGCATGGCTCGGGGCAGGGGATGGCCAGGTTGATGGTGTCCAGTGTCATGGTCTGGCCCGGTGCCCTGTGTCCTTTCCTGTGATGTCCCTGGGACAGTGGGTGCTGCCCGTGGGGAGCAGAAGCTGGCACCTGGGCAGCTTCTTCTCACTCCTGGCCACTGTCTAAGAAGTCGTGTGTGTGTCCAGATGGTCAGGCCCCTCCACCAGGCCCTGGGGAGTGGGGCCTGGCTGTCTACACTTTGGTCTTGGGCATTTCTACAGAAGCGGCCCTGGAGCCTGACCCCCGCATGTCCTGGGGCCTGGCCCGCGTGTCTTAGCTTCCTTCACACCTGTCTGCACAGCTCAGCCCTGATTCAGAGCGATGGGGCCAGCGCTGTCTCAACTGGGCTACAAGGGACTCTTCCAGAGGTGGGGGGGGACTCGGACCACAGACCTGGGCTTCACGTCAGAGCCGGGAACACCGGTGGCCTCCAACTGCCAGCTCGTGGGCTGCTCTGTCTCAATGTCAGATGCCTGGGCCAGGGTACCTGCCCTGGCTGTGCCAGGAGGGGACCCTCATCTGCACCTGTCTCTGCAGCCCTTGAACTGTCAGGGCCCCCTCTGTGCTCCAAGGGCCACTGACCCCGCTGCCCTTGACTGGCTCCTGGGGGGGTGGGGAGGGGGGGGCGGCAGCACCTGTATTTGTTGGGGAACAGCCGCTCGCAGTCCTTGCACTCGTGGGCCTGCCCGTCGCTGCCCCCGCTGCCCAGGCCCTTGGGCTTGAGCGCGTCGCCCAGGCCCTCGTAGAGGGCGGCCCCCACCGAGCCGCACGCGTATTTCTTGTGTCGCCGCAGGTCCAGCTTAGACGGGAAGAGTTCGTCGCACACGTCACAGCGGAATGTGGGCTCCTCTGCAAGAGAGAGGGGTCAGGAGTTGGGGGGGGGTCCCAAGACCTGCCCCAGGGCCTGCCAGGAGGGCGCAGGAAGGCTGCGAGCCTGTCCCACGCTCACCGTTCCCGCTCCTGCTTCCTTCCTGCCCTCACCCCGGACCTGGGAGTGGCTGCCCCGGGGACCTGGAGATCACAGGGACCTGTGTCTGCATCTGGGAAGCACTGAGAGGCGCTGGGCCCCGAGCCTCAGGAGGCCCCTGTGGGCTTGAGAAGCCCGTGCTCGGGAGCGAAGAAGGAAGCAGGCCAAGTGCTTTGTTTATGAATTAGGAGAAAAAAGATGACAGAGCTCTAATGCATGTCATAAATTATCGTCGTCAAGGTCAAACAAATTAAAAGAGGGGCAGCTATTATGAAGTTTACGAGGCGGCATCCTGACCGGCGTGCCAAGCCAAACAATCAGCCCAGAGCTGTCAATTTCCTGGGGGGGGCGACCTCCGGTTCATCCAGCCTCCCCCCTCTACCCAGCGGCCCCCTGACAGCAGCTTCTGCACAGCGCGGGTCCCCTCCCAACCCGAGGCAGACCCCGCATCCCACACAGGGCTGGAGGGAGAGCACGAGCAGTAAGCGCTCTGCACAGATGCATCGCGTGGGTGTGCTTGTGAGCAGTGTGTGCATGCACGTGGCTCCCTGTGCAGGGTGTGTGGCCGTGTGTGTGTGATGTGTGCACAGGCATGCGGCTGTGTGAGAATGCAGGGGCATGCGTGTGAATGTTCACGCTTATTGGCATCCATCCACATCTCCGCATTTTTGTGCATCTCCACTCATGTTTGTGCTGGTGTACAGCTGCATTCATGCGCATGTGTGCACAGGTGTGAGTGTGCACATGTGCTTTTGTGTGTGGTTGCGTGTGTGAAGATTTGTGTGTCTGCATATCTTCGCCCTGCATGCATGTGCGTGTGTGTGCCTGGGCATGAGTATGTTTCTATGCACATGTGTATACTGCGTTGTGTGTGCATGTTAAGTGTGCACATTTGTGCGCACGGTTGACTGTGTGCTGTGTGTTGAGTGTGTGTTTCTGTGCATGTGTAAATGTGAATGTGTGCACATCTGTGTGAGAATACGTATATATGTGCATTTGTGTGTCTGTGTAAATGTGTGCAGTTGTGTATGGGCATGTGCACATGTATTGATGTGTGAATGTGCCTTTGTGTGCAGGCATGCACATGTTTGAGTGTGTATGCACATGCACAAGGACCCCAGGGCTGGCACCAGAGCCTTATCACCTTGCTGGGTGCTGCCCAAAGGGCCTGACCTTCAGGGGTGCAGAAGTCAAGGAGGAAGGGACATGGGGGCCAGCAGAAGGGGGGCCCTCCTTCCCCCTCCTAGTGTCAGGGAGACCACTAGAGGCATCTCTGAGTGTGAGGAGAGGTGAGCAACTGTGCAGCCTGGGCAATGTGGATGGGGGTGGCCTGGGGAGAGGGTGGGCCACCTCCTCGTGACCAAACGCTTTTGAGCGTAGGGTGGAGGCATTGGAGGGCATCCCCACTGGTGGGCACTTGGACCCTCCCCTGCTGGTGTCCAAGGGAAGACGCCTGCAGGAGCTGGCTCTGAGATGCCCCTCTGAGCCCTGGCACTGGCAAACACCCTCGGAACCCCAGGCACCACCTTGCCCCATGTGACTTCTGTTCACGTTGTCACACAGAGGCAGGTACATGGGTGACAGGGGAAGGGCTGCCTGCTGAGAGGAGCCCTGGGAACTACGGGATGCAGGATGCATGCGTCTGGGGCAGGCCAGGCAGCCCTACTGCCAGGAATCGCGTTACAACAGCCGGCCTCGCTCTGGGCTGTGGGGGCAGGGGCCTTGGGAGGCTCTGGCCCAAATGTCTCCGGACCAACCGCCCTGGAACTTATCCCAGACACACGCTGAGCTGTCAAGTAGACTGGGAGGAGGCAAGCAGGCCAGTGGTCCACACAGAGACCTGGATGGAGGAGACAGGGAGGGTGGCTGTGCCTGTGACCTAGGAGCAAGCGTCTGCAAACACAGTGGCCGAAAGGACAGACATGATACTCCCACGGACAGCAGAGCAGCTACCTGGGCAGAGGGACCGGGGCGGTGGGGCCCGTGGCTGACTGGAGTCAAGAGAAAGGTCTAAAGCAAAGCCCCTCTAGGCCCGGGGCTGGTCCTCAGGTGCCAGGTGGAAGCCCAACCACGGAACACAGGGGAGGAGATGGGCAGGATGAGGCCCATTTACAAAGGGGTCACCCTGAGAGTCTACAAAATGCCGCCTTTAAAGCAGAATTCTGGCCTGGCTGGTGTGGCTCGGTGGTTGAGCACTGACCCATGAGCCAAGAGGTCTCGGCTCGACTCCTGGTCAGGGCACGTGCCCAGGTTTAGGGCTTGATCCCCAGGTGGGGGCGTGCGGGAGGCAGCCGATAAATGATTCTCTCATCAATGTCTTTATCTCTCTCTTTCCCCCTTCCTCTCTGCCTAAACCCCAATACAAACATATTTTTAAAAAAACCAGAATTCCGGCGTGCCAGTTATTTTCAGGAAAAACATCTGTGAAAATAACACAGATAACATCACCGACGCCGAGGGGTGGGCGCCTCCACGTGGCAGGCACAGGCCCAAGGACGTTCGACGTTCACGCATCCGAACCTCAGATCCGTCCACAAGCACCCTCCTGGGGACTATACTTGTGCCTGCTTTCCAACGGGTAGACTGAGGCTGAGAGAGACTAGCTTACCCAGGGACCCAGCAAAGTGACAGAGCCATGTAACTGCGGCCTTTGCCATGTTCGGCACCCCGAAAGCGGGGGGCGGAGTCCCCACTTCCCACGAGGCCGTGGGACACACACAGCACGTGGCGTGCGAGTCTGGGGCACACCGTCACCCCCGCAGCCTCCCTTCCTTTAGAACTGTCAGCTCCTGCGCATCTGAGCGCCGAGGCACCGGTTCAGGACCCAGCGGGAAGCTCAGGCCCACAAAGCTGCTCTGCGGGTTCCCTCGGGCATCCTGGCTGGGTGGGGCGGCGACCGGCCCTCCCACCAGCGTCACGATGCCGCTGGAAATGCCTGCTCGCCTTTGACTCGCTGCACTGGGCTAAGAGCAATCACTGAAGTTACCATTTGAAAACAAAGAAGGAACGTCAGCCCCACCCACCCAACTTGGACCAACTGCTTTTCCCACGTTTGATCCGGAATTTGGATTTAACATGAAAACTCGGCCTGATTCTCCGTCTGACGGCATTGGAGGGAGCCTGGAGGTGATGCGCCCAGCGACGGCCGTGACAGTCACCCTCCTTCGCCGCTTCCCAGCCCACTGTGGACCCGAGCTTGTCCCGATCGAAAGACAGCGGGGAAGGGGACACATCTAAGCCTTGCCCACCGGCGCTGCGGTGTGGACAGGGTCCCACTGCCTCCCATGCAGGTAAGGCTGGCGTCGGGGGCACGCCTGGGCTGTGCTGGCCGGGGGCGGGGCGTGCCCACAGCCCACGTGGCTTTTGCTTTCCCAGCACAAGCAACTGTTTCACTGAAATACTAAGTGCGTTGTTACATTGCGCCGTCATACTGTATTGTTGCACTGCATTGTTCTACGCTGTATTTGTTACATTGTATCTCATCGCCTTGCACTGTGTCAGTCTCATACCTTACAAACAATACACTGCATCCTCTTGCCCTTTCTTTGGAGAGAGAGGGGAAAGAGTTAATAACGTCAAGCCTTTCTCAAAAGAAAAGCATGTTTGAATGGAAATAATTTTCTTTATTTTCTTCCAAGAGCAAGAAGTTCTCCTGAAAGAGAAACCTTTCCCCTCTCCATTGAAAGAGTAAACACAAACTGAAAAGTCGCTGGGACCCAGGACCTGAAGGGGCTCTGTCTGCTCACACTCACTGGGAGGAAAATTAGACTCTCACGTCTACGGAGCTGCGGCCTAGACAGGGGGCGTCCAGCCCCAGGCCAGCCGGCCAGAGCTCGGGTGCCCAGTGGGGTGGCCCACTGGGGCCTGTTTCTTCCATGTGACCCGGCCTGTGTGGCTCTGCGGTGAGAGTGTCGTCCATGCACCGAAGGGTCTCGGGTTTGATTCCTGGTCAGGGTATTTACCCAGGTTGCTGGTTCCATCCCTGGTCAGGCACGTACGGGAGGCAACTGGTCAATGTTTCTCTCTCACATCGATGCTTCTCTCTCTCTCTCTCCCCCTCTCCCCTCCTCTCTCTCTCAAATCAGTTTTTTAAAAAATCCCTGCAGTTTCCTCTTTTAAGCTGGGTAGGGGGCCTGGGGAACCGTGGCCGGGGCAGAAGCTCCATCTTCCACCCAAACTGAGCTCAGCCAGCGCGGCGTGTGTCAGATCCACGCCCTGCTTGTCCATCTGAAGTTCCATCAGCAACTTCTCCGGGTGGAGCAGGAATATAACAGAAAGGGAAGCCAGTGCCTAATGGCCTCGCAGAACCGAGGGGGACGCAATTATGTGGCATCTACATGCTAATCTACCAGCCTGGAGGCTCGAGGCGCTCAAGAGCCCACTCCAAATTCCCGCCGCGATAAGGGGCTGCCGCATTTAGCCGGCCCGGGATAAAAGATTTTTTATGATAATTATCTTAGTGAGGAACGTTTTTGCATTTTCTTTTTTGTGCAATTCAGAGTCTAACTGGGGGGAGAGGGGTTGGCTATTGGGGGGCGAAAGAGTGGCCTCGCCAGCAAAGAGTCTGAAAAGTCAAATGTTTGGCGTCGGGCGATTATGTGTGGAAAGCAATTAGCCCACAAATGTCTGATAAATTATTAGGTAAAAGGAGAGCTAGGTTATTCAAGATCAGGGGCCGGAGGGGGAGTGGGAATCGAGGTTTTTAAACCTTGGGAGAAAAGAAATTTCATTACACAAATGAGCTCCGTCTCCAAGCATGCTCCGGGCTAAGTGGCTTCACCTCGCAGGCTTGGGTTTACTCGAGATCCACAGGTCTTTTCAACAATTGTTTTAAGGAAAATGAGACTGTCCCCTTGCAACCCAGGTCTCGGCCATTTATTTTTCTTTGCTCGATGGCCTAATGAAAACCAAACATCAGAGCAGAGGACAGATGGCATCCGGCTCATGAAACTGTCCCTCTGCGGTGACTGCCTTCGGAGCAGCTCGGGGGCCGCGGCCGGTGCTGCCCACAGGAAGGCTGGCTCCTGACCGCCGGCCAGACTCGGGGTGGAGCGGAGGAATCGAGGCAGAGAGCTCTGGGTGGGCTCTCGAAGGCCTCCTGGTAGCTCCAGGGCCCAGCTCCCTGCCCAGCCAGTGCCACCCCCAGTCATGCCACGGGAGGGGCTCCTTGGACAGACTTGCTGTTAGTGTGTTTGTGGGGGAGAGAAATAAAGACAGAAAGGACCCCCCTTCCTCTAGCCTGAGGGGTCAGTAGCCCCGAGGACGCCTAGGCTAGGAGGGGACGCTGCTTTTCTGTTCACCGGTGGGGCTCGTGCCAAGCAAAGCCTCCGTCTGCTCAGAGGCGGCGCTCAGGGAGTAAGCGGACCCGCGCCCGTGCCAGGCAGCCTTCCCCCACCCACTGCTCCCACTTCTCTGTGACTTAGGCCGGCCACAGCACCCCAAGGTGGCTGGGGAAAGCGACTCTGCTCAGAAATCCTGGTCGGTCTGCAACCGGGACTTTCTCCAGCTTCCCCTGAGACACACTTGGGCAGATGGACGGGGAAGGGAAGCGGGCCTACCGGGCAGTGACTGAGCAACGGCGCGAGAGGCGGCGCTCGGAGCAGCCGCAGCGTTAACGCAGGACGCGCTGAGCCCGCACCCCAGGGCCCGCCCGGCCCCGCGTCGCCCTCTTCCCAAACACACTGGCCCTGAGCTTCTCTCTCCGACGGGTCAGCCTCCTTTTAGCTACGGATGGGCGCTAGTTTCAAAGACAGAGCTGTGTCACCATCCTCCCCTAAGCGAGGCGGGAACTCCTCCCGTGGCGCAGAGCTCTGGAGGCAAGCGGGTCCAGGCCACAGAACGGCCTTGTTTTTGTTTTTTAAGTACTGAGGAGAGCAGACGCTGCTGCTGTTAATAATAATACAGTTTAAAAACATCCCCGGGACTCTACCAGAGAGACATAATATGACCAAACACCAGCACCCACATCGGCGCAAGTCCCAAGTTGAACCCAGGGCGGGGCTCCCAGCACCTGAGGAAGGAGCGAGCCAGGGGCTGAGGCGGGGAGGCTGCGGAGAGGAGGCTGTTGTGTTTCCCTGGATCAGAGTGGGGGGCTGTGGGCAGCGGCTGGGGGTGCCCGGCCCTCATCGCGGATGAAGTGACCGGCCACCTCGGGAGCTCACTTACCATCCAGGCTGGAGGGGACGGTCCCCAGGGAGTAGGAGCCTTCCTTCACGTGCACCAGCAGCTCTTCCCCTGGCCCAATGTCCTTGATGACTTTATAGTAAATCTGGGAAGGAGAAAACAGAGAGAGTGTGTCAGTGTCAGTGTCAGTGTCAGTGTCAGTGTCAGTGTCAGTGTCAGTGTCAGTGTCAGTGTCACCGTCCCCGTAGTCTGGAAAGCCGTGGAGAGGGCACCCGGCCCTCGCCCTCAGGGGCTGCATGCTGGGCAGGGGGTTGGTCTGCCTTCTGAGAGCCCCTGAGAGGCTCCCCTTGGGAACTCTGCAGAATATGCTCAAAAATCCCACAGCTCCTTTTAATTTGTTTATCACTTCTGCATGCCGATATGGGGGGGGGGGGAAATAAATCCACAAGGATCTGTCCCAAAGTTTGGAGCAAGGAGTGGCCCAGCAGGAGGCATTAAGGGAGGATGCCTCTCAGCCTCGGCCACAGGGCCTGGGGTGATTCCTTTGGTCAGTGTGTGTAAGTCAGGGGGACATCCTTTGCCCTGATGCAGGCGCCCAGGTCAGGAACGAATGTGGGTGTCCACAAAAGTGGCCATGAGCTCAGACAGGGGCCCCGTAGGCCAGGACCCTGCGCATCTCCCATGAGCGTGGACACCGTCCTGAAGGGGGTGGAGGGTGGGGGCACCTGCAGCAAGCCCGGTTTCCAGTGGCCATTGGGGACCTGCGATCGGGGACATCCCTGAAAC